AGTCATCTCATGCTTCCCAAATAGTATCCAGTTTTGGCTTAATCAAATCCATATAATCAACATTTTGATGTGAAACAGTTTTAAAAACATTCAAAATTCTTATTTTCATTCTCAATTTTATCATTGACTAGAAAATTTCATTTTATATATCCAATTCGTTTCAAGTAGACTGATCTTTGTTAACATATTTCTTTTGATACTTTATGTTATTGATAACAATAGTCACTGCTTTAGGCTATAAATCATACAAACATGGCAAAAACTGACAAAGATATATCAGTGACCTTGGGTCCCACCTTTGAAAATTCCTCACTTTTACCTTTGTCAGGCTGGGTAAAAATACTCTTGGATGAGGTAATTTATAACACATTTAAAAACATATTTATAAGATTAGAATTTTAAACTACACTTTTCTTTCAGGTCCATAATTAATATATTTTGTCAATAACTAAAAAACTAAAGTACACCTTCAACTAGTAAGTAGTTATTTAAAAGAATATTATCAGTGCAATATATTTCATTGCAGCTAAATGCAAGAATGTGTGAACATAAAAAATTGAGAATATATATCCAGAAGTGTTAGCCAAACAAAATATTCACATATACTGTTAGTGTAACATAAAAGCAAATTTCTCTCATGATAAAATCTTATGAAAGATAATTTACAACACATATTTTATATGTCAGGCTCTAAATATAAAATTTCTAAATGGAATAAAAACATCAGACAACCTACTAAATAGTATCCAGTTTTGGTTTATCAGACAACCTACTTTTAGATTAAAATATATCAGAAAGAACTGATATTTTATACCACTAACACATTTAAAGGACACCCTATTAAATGTTTTTCAACAATAAGACTTTACAGACCTACTTACACTGCTTCTAAAGAAGAAAAAAAAGACTTGCACTCTGGTTTGCACTGTCTATATTTGTATAGAACTGTATTGTGTGTACATATATATATGTATATACAAATACCATTAATGCAGTTTTTATACAGAAAGTGTTACATAGAAATAAAATTGTGGTAAAAAACATAGATATTTACCTCATGCCATTGCAGTACAGCATCACTGTTGTATGGAACAGTGACACCATAGCACTCTAAGGCTAAGTAGATGATAGCTACAGCAACATGCTGTGGTTTATAGCAAAGACAGGAGGGCAAGTGATAGAAGTCACACAGGAGAGACCAACAGGTTCTGAATAAGGGTAGTTTGGCAATAATGTCAGGTGCCATCCAGTCTTGAACAGACTTTAGATAGTGAAGAAGATACTAGAGAAACAAAAAGTTAATACATTTTATTTGTTCCTTCTATATTAAGATTGAGGCTCAAATGAAACAAAAGGTCACGTTATAAATGAGACATACAATAGATATATTAAAGTAATATTATAGTCTGTAATCATTTTAAGAGAAGAAATAACTTGTGTGGATGGTCTAAACATATGCCAGAAAACAGTAATTTGGAGCTGCCATCCGATATTAAAAAAAGGAAAACGTTACCTATCATAACCAACCAGGTTAGGTTTTGAATATTTTACTGTAACTTCTTATAAACAAAATTGAAAATGATAAGTTTCAATTCAAAATACTAATACAAACATTAGGCTTCTAGTTCCTAATGTAAGTCTAGCCTGCAGCAGATAACACTACTAAAAACTACTACACAGTTTACCCACTATTTTCCACCAAACCAGCTTGGAACAAGTAAATAATTTATAGATAGTCAGCAACCTGCTTATCTATCTTCTGTAAAGGTGGTCAAAAACTTTAACAGACTGGCAATAAAACAGAAAATATATTTGTCTTTTAACATTAAATAAAGTATTTAATCCTTAGGTTATCAAATGGTATTCCGACCACAGTTGAGCTAAACAGTAGCTTTGAAGTCAAATTAAAATTTGATTTAATTTCCAAAACAACTCTGGATTATAATTTTAATCTTCTCTCAACTGGAGGAGGTGTCACTGATATCTCATTTTTTAATTGTCAAAGTGACAGTACTTAACCAAATTGCATGAAACATCTTTTAACTTAATGTTTTAATGTATTAGCACATTATGAGTAGAGTGACTGAAAATTTCAACTAAATAGGCATACTGTAAGTTTGGGCCTGTTTTGACATTAGTCAGTCTACTTGCAGATGACATAATGTTGTGCATGGGTACATAATTTTCCTCAAAAGCAAAACAAAAGCAGGAACAACAACAAAAAACATAAAATGTTACATCTCATGTAAAATAAACATACTCAGATGTTCAGAAATAGAAGGAAAATTTAAGTTTTTACTACTTCAGAGGATTGGTTGTTTGAGCTTGGACAGATAAACTGATCATTACTGTAATTTTTTTACAAGTTATTTCTTCACTGAAAATGATTATAGACAGTTATATTAAATTATGTATTGTATGTCCCATTTATAACACTACCTTTTGAGCCTCAATCTTAATATAGAAGGAACAAATTAAGTGTATTAACTTTTTGTTTCTCTCGTATCTACTTCACTATCTAAAGCCTATCCAAGAATGGATGGCACTTGACATTCTTCTGTTTTCACTTATTTGTTTCACTTATGCAAGCCTTACTCCAGTTTGAATGTCTTTTCAGAATAAGCTGAAAAGTTGTTCTTTCGAGCTCATCCTA